CTGCCTGTTTAAAACAAGAAATTTTGTTACATAGTCCGTTATATTGAGACCTATTTTTGGCATAGAAAGTGATCGAATTGGTGAATGATGTCTGAATCAAAGTTGTATTCAGATGAGTTAGCTTTCCAATGCATTTTGAATCGCCTCAATCGAACATCGAAATATAAAGTTATGATAAAAACATTGAAAGAAGGTGCAGCTGCCTGTTTAAAACAAAAAATTCCGTTACATAGTCTGTTATATTGAGACATATTTTTGATATAGAAAGTGATCGAATTGGAGAACGATATCTGAATTAAAGTTGTAGCCAAATGGGTTAACTTTCCAACGCATTTTGAATCGCCTCAATCGAACATCGGAATACAAAGTTATGATAAAAACACTGAAAGAAAGTGCAGCTGCCTGTTTAAAACAAGAAATTCCGTTACGCAATCCGTTAAAACAACAAATGTCGTTAGTTTTTCCGTTAAACCAACAAATTCCGTTAAATAGACACTTTTTATATATAGAAAGATATAAAGGTAAACCGGCCTCTTTTCTAAATTTCAACCAAATGTTCTCCTTTTCTATATATTTAATCTCAAGTCGCCAAATTGTGTATCTAATTAGAAGTCCAAATTGAGGCCCAATTAATTTAATGCTTGCTTCTAAGTCCTCATGTTATGAATTTTTCCATTATTTTGCATTATTTTCTTCAATTTCTCATTAAACATAAAATTTTAATTACAAAATACAATATAACATAAATTAGCTAGAATTTTATTCAAAAAATAGTAAAATATCAATGATTTAGAGTATCGAATAAGTATAAAAACTACACTTATCACACCCCCAAACTTGACTCTTTGTTTTCCCTCAAATAAAACTAAAATCTAATAAACACACAATGCTAATTATCTAATTGGTGGTCAGTCAATCAAACAAAGCAAAAAGATTTAACTAGCTAACCTGACTTTTTATCTCAAGATTAAAATCATAATATTAAATCTAATCACAACTTCAAAATCACAATACAGAAATTAAAATCTACTTTTTCAATATAAAATCAACATGTATTTGAAGAATTAAGTATCACATTATGAATTTATAAGTAGTTTTAATTCTCGACCGTGAATGGTCAAATATATTCTTTCATCACTCGTAAGATTCACACACTCTCAAACTTATTTTTTTCGCTATTTTCAAGTGTGTGAACTAGGATTGAATTTTATATTATCTCCATCTCTCTAATTTAGGTAAATCTCACTAATTGCTAGACAATATGTTAATAAACAAAGATTCTCCACAATTTGATTGCTTTAATTTTTAGGACTTAACTAGGCTAATAATCCCGTAGAAAAAGTCAAATTTTTCCAAATAAGTGTTTGAGACATAACTAAGGCACTTAGTGTATTTTCTGTTTCATACACATGTTTTCCTGATTTTCTATATTTTTTCAAATTTTTTTCTTTATTTGAAACATTCTCTCCCTTAATCTTTTTAAATGACCCATGTAACAAACTTTCGATCGATAACTCCCAAATCAGATGACCATGGGGCACCAGATGTTTAAGACTTTTGCAGACTTAATTGCTAGAGTCATAAAGGTTACGAAGAGAAATTTTCAAATAAAATAATAAATTTTTTTATGCCTTGATTAGTGTATTGTCCCTCATTAAACATCAATTTAAGAAAAAATGACATGTAACTTGAGATTTTCACCCAATTTCATCCTATTGACTTTAGAAAATTCACATAAGATTTTTTTTAACACGTGGAATCCCCATTAATCTTAATATCTTCACACAACAGTGAAATCTCCCAAACTATTCTAAATTTGGTCCAAAGATGTAGAATTTAGTGTTTTGTGTTTAGCACCTATGGTCCATTATTTCAACCTATCCAATTATGAATTCAATTCATTCATGCACAATGCTTAACTAATTCATGTGCTCAATATATATCAAATTTCACATAAAACAGTAAAAATTAATCTAAGCATGTAAATGAAGCATTCTCTCCCTTAATCTTTTTAAATGACCTATGTAACAAACTTTCGACCGATAACTCCCAAATCAGATGACCATGGGGCACCAGATGTTTATGACTTTTGCAGACTTAATTGCTAGAGTCGTAAAGGTTACGAAGAGAAATTTTCAAATAAAATAATAAATTTTTTTATGCCTTGATTAGTGTATTGTCCCTCATTAAACATCAATTTAAGAAAAAACGACATGTAACTTGAGATTTTCACCCAATTTCATCCTATTGACTTTAGAAAATTCACATAAGATTTTTTTTTAACACGTGGAATCCCCATTAATCTTAATATCTTCACACAACAGTGAAATCTCCCAAACTATTCTAAATTTGGTCCAAAGATATAAAATTTAGTGTTTTGTGTTTAGCACCTATGGTCCATTATTTCAACCTATCCAATTATGAATTCAATTCATTCATGCACAATGCTTAACTAATTCATGATGTATATCAAATTTCACATAAAACAGTAAAAATTAATCTAAGCATGTAACTTATTTACCATTCTCAATTTATAATTCAATACATTCCTAATTGCCAGCCAGAACAACTAATTTACACAAGTACACAAAAAGAAAATATTTTTGAAATATTTTAATTTTAAAAAAAATTAAAAAAATGAAAACTCATGTTTTCCACCCCCAGACTTAAACTAGACATTGTCTTCAATGTCTTAAATCCTAAATCTGCATATAAAGGGGTGGGGAAGAAAGTGAAGAAAAGACTCCCCTGATATGGCTTGTAATTCAACGGCTGGCTTTTCTATTACTTCTGTTGGCTCTTTGGTCAAAATTGGTTTGAATGTTCCGCAATGTCATGTTCTTGAAAAATCAAATAAAGCAGTAAAATCAAATAACTGGAATAAGTGTTGCTTAACTCTAACATCTAATAAACCAACATATCGAAGACCTAAGGGGAAACGAGATATGAATGATGTGTCCCAAATAAATTTAAAATAAACTAAACTATCCCAAAACTTAAAAACAGAATAAATAAAAAGAAAGAAAGTTTGGGTTGTCTCCCAAAAAGCGCTTCTTTAACGTCATTAACTTGACCTAACCACAATGTCTACATTGGATCTTTAGGTTGCACGTCTATCATGTTTCTAAACTTTATCCTTGGCTTGTATTCTTCTTCACTATAGCATGGTAGATAGAATTGGATGACTTTAACTTCGATATAGCCTCAAAACCTCTTTTGGTTTCACATTGTTTGGAGGTTTCCAAGGCTTTTCCACATAGCTCTCATTTTTATTAGGTGGATAGGCTTCATGAGCCAATATGAAGTCAATTATTTCATTGGTTCATGAGTATTTACCAGTAAGAGATGTATCCCTTGCTAAATAACTGGTAGTTATGTGCTGCACTAGAGGGTCATAGAATAAATCTTTTTTTCTTTATTACCTACAACTGCTTCAACTGATTGGATCATATTGCAAGAGTCAGCTTTTTTCTGGAGGTTTCTCCGCTTGATAGATGTTGAAATTTACATTCTCATCGTTAATCCGAATTGTCAACGTTCACTCTTGATAGATGTTCAAATTTTCGTTCTCATCATTAACCCGCAGTGTCAATGTTCCTTTGTGTACGTCAATCAATGCTCTTCCAGTAGTCATGAAAGGTCTGCCTAAAATGATTGGAATATCCCGGTCTTCTTCCATATCTAATACGATAAAATCTGCATGGTAAATGAACATGTCCAACTTCACCAAGTCATCTTCAATAATCCCTTTTGGATGCTTTATGGAGCTGTCAGCTAGTTGCAATATATTGTGGTGTTTAGCATCTCTAATTCCTAATTTCCTGTACAAAGACAATGACATTAAATTTATACTTGCGCCAAGATTAGATAAAGCATGTTCAAAATATCTATCTCCTATGGTACAAGGTATACTAAAACTCCCTGGATCCTTGAGTTTAGGGAGCAATATATTCTATAGACGTGCACTGCATTCCTCGGTTAGCTTAGTCCTCCAGCTTCCTCTTGTTAGTGAAAATTTCCTACATAAATTTTGTATAGCTGGGCATTTCTGCTAGAGCATCCACAAATGGAATGTTAATATGCAGGTTTTTAAACACTTCAATGAACTTGTAGAATTGTTTGTCTAGTTTATGTTTATACAGTCGCTGAGGAAATGGAATGGGGGTATATATTCTATGATAGGAACGGACGCCTTAGCCTATGGTGTATCTGAATTCTTTTTAAAAAAATTCTCAGTTGACTTTTCAGATCCTTCCACTTACTCATCATTTGAAGTAAGCACTTTATTTGTCTCTACTACTGGTCTTTTTACTATAATTTCAAGTAGCTGTACTCCAGTTTTTGTTGTAATTGCTTGCACGTGTTCCTTTGGATTAGTTTCTGTGTTGCTCGGTAGGGCTCCTTATGGTCTTTCTGAGATAGTGCGGGTCAGCTAACCTAATTGAGTTTCCAACCCCTTTATGGCTGCTGAATGATTTTGCAAAGTTGTTTCGATCTTTGCCATGTATTGGTCGATTTTCTGTATAAATTTACCCAAGATATCTTATAGAGACAATTTTTTCACTTGCTGTTGAAAACCAATGGGAGGTTGCTGCTGATTATTTTGGTTATTGCTCCAAGAGAAGTTATGATGATTACGCCAATCTGGTTTGTATGTATTGCTGAATGCATTGTTGTGTTGGAGTTGAAAATTTTGTGCATAGTTAACTTCATCTGTCTCTCGAGGCATTCCCCACTATTGTGAGCTTCACCACATATACCGCAGACCAAAAATTTCGTTTGCACTGCTTTTGTTGAATTTCTCGTAGTCAAGTGATCTATCACCTTCTTTTCAGAGCTAGCATCCGTGCTGATAATGTCGAGAAAGCATCAACCTCATGTAGACCTGTGTACTTCTTATGTGTGGATCTTTCGAAAGGCCATAAAGAATTGTTGACTCCCATCGTCTATATAATTTCTCAACTTCATTAGGTGACTTTAATGTGATAGATCCATTTGAAACTTCATTCACTGATATATGACATGTTGGGTTTAAGCCAGTGTAGAAGTACTGAACTTGCAATTTTTTCTTAATACCGTAGTTAGGACACTTCTTGATCAAGTCCTTGAACTTTTCCCACGCTTAGGGAAAACTCTTTAATTCATCCTGCTGAAAAGTGGATATCAAGTATCTTATTTTAGTTACTTTTGATGGTGAAAAGAATTTTGTGATGAATTTTCGTACGAGATCATTCCAGGTCCTAATGCTTCCAGCGGGTAGGGCATCCAACCATTCTCTTGCTCCGTCTCTGAGTGT